TTCAAAGAAAGATTATACAGTTTCTATCAATATTATGACTGTGAGATATAAAAAACAATATTTTCAATTGTCTTGTTTTTCAAAACATCCAAATTTCATATCATATCATGACTTAGATAACCGGCTGACATGTAAATGTTTAGTGCCTGTGCTGATAAAATCTATCACTCTCATAATCAGACTTGAGGGTGTGGATGTGACTTTAGATCAGAAGAAAATTAACACATACACCCTTTTTTTAATGAATTAGTGAAAATAAAAGGAAAATAATGGTCAGACGAAAAGGAGAACAATAACTTTCTTAATTTTCACAATGCTTTCTTCGCAGCCGTTTATGTGTTATTTAACAGTGTTACTCAATAATTAATGAGAATATCAAGAAAAGAAAAGTTCCTTCCTCCACGAATGATACTCATCTATTATCCAACGTATCTAAATAATTTACTTTACGGTGCAGATTGATATTGAAATATTTGTAGATTTTTTTTTCTAAGAAACTAATAACAAGATTAAATTGATATTCTAATTTGTGAGTTAGTTGTAAATGAAGATTAGAGAAAAAAAAGTTTTTGTCTAGTTGTTTATAAGCTGTTGCATGCTCCTCCGACTTGAATTGGCACCTTTTTTTTCTTTTATTTCTGTCATTGTTTAGAAAATGATGTTGTTGTCGACAAGTTTATTTTCAATCGGAAAGGAGATTTAGTTTTGATGAAGCAGAAAAAATAAATTATATTAAGTAAAAAGCAGGGAGACAACTACATGTTTTTTTTTCAAAATAAAAAAAAACAAACTCAAATAATATTTTCTTTTATTTATTTTTAGTAGATCATTTCAACGAAAATCTTTTATTTAACAAAAAAGCTTTTTAAAAAAATCCGAATATCTTTATCAATTTGATTTGATTCATTCATTGTTGCATTTCCATATTCTTGAATTATTTTACCATCTTGTTTTACTGTTATATGATGTTTATCTCCATATATTTTACTCATTGTTTCAGTTTTGTATATTTTCATTTTGATTTGATGATTATTGAATTTGTTTTTCAATAACACATCTTTCCAATTATGTTGTTTCTTGTTTCATTGTTGTTATTATAACAGTTCTTGGAAATGCTTCATTAAGATCATGTTTTTCTATAGTAGAGTCAAGATTTTCATCACCATGATGATTATCTACAAAAGATATTAATTTAAGAAAATTCGTTTTTAGAATAGGTTTTCATTTTTTTGTTACTTTGAAACTCTGTAGTTGCGAAACTGGAGAAAAGTCAATCGAAATCAACGAAGATTTTTTCAATTGGGGAAAAGAAGCCATTGAATAGAAAATCATCATCATTATTATCTTCCATTTTAGTTTTTAGAATGGAAATTTATTTCTCAATGTTCATTTTTATTTTTATTTCAATATGAAGAAATCTATAAAAAACAAAAAGTATATCTCTAGACATTTAATTATCTCTTAGTCTTATTAATGACTTAATAGATGTGCATAGGGTACTAATTGAGTTAATCAATCGAGATATTGCAAAGGTTGAATATCAAATGAAATCATGTCGATAAAATTTCTTAAACAATTATAAAGTACTCAATTGCATTGATATCGTTTCATAAATTGAGATTATTTATTCATAAATTATCATAGAATTTCAATGTCTACTGAAGTGAACTTATTTCAAACAAATGTATTGATTTTAAATTTTCGTTTTAGAAAAGGATTTCTTTATCTTGAAATAAAAGAAAAACGTTTTAATGATAAGTTACTTTTTCAAAATGATCAATATATGCATTAAAAGTTAATAATAATGATAGAATTAGAATTCCAATTTCAGTTGCTTTTGTAACTCGACATAATTGTCCTATAAATTCCGGTAAATGGACTGCACCGGATAATGGATTTTCACTAAACAAGAATTAAAGATTACTTTAAATTAAATTCGGTTTCATTTTTAAATTTCATACCGATAAATGTGGTACATTGGATGCAGCACAAATATTAAATGGATTATATTCATCATAATTTAATGGATGTTCATCAATTGGATTTTTTTCACAAACATTTAATACTTTCCGTGTCTAAACAAAATAAAAATAAAGTTTTTATTTGTTTTTTTGTCCGTCTTCTAAAGTAATTGAACGAAAATTATGTTTCATTTAACAAAGAATAAACTCAATTGTTTCAAATAAATCAAAAAAACATGAACAACTTCGATCAACAGATATGACATATCTTTGAGTGCATTAAAGATATGTTTTCTTTCTTGTTTTTTTGGTTTATTTTAAAACCTTTCAAAGTTGAAGTCAAGAAAGAATGAGAGTATTTGGTTTGAAAATGAAAGATTAATACTAAAACAGAAAATCTATTGAGTAACATCAGGTGTTGGTTCCAATTCCAATAAACGTTTGGTGAAGCTTGTTCCAGTTGTATAAATTTTTAATTTAAATGCTTGATTAACTGCAGATTTTTATTTTATGATTTTGTGCATTGATTGTAATTGTCAATGAGTAAAACAGGCAACTAATTCATATCAACGTTTTTCATCATCTTTCGCTAAATCTTCGTTTTTGTCATTGACATTTGTCAACTAACAATATATTCTTTACATATTTCAATTCATTGTTCATCTTGAAATTATTCGTTTTTTGTTAAACAATAAGCAATTTGAAGGCGTCTAACTAATTTTTCTAATTTTAATCCAAGTAGTAGATACAATAATTTTGGTCAATGTTCATTACGCCTTAATAATTAAAATAACTTTAAAATATTTATGAAGTAAACAAATAATTTATATATTTGAATAAAAACATACAAGATCAGGCAGAGTTGTAACCGGTCAAAAAAATTCAGACCGGACCGGCCTGACCGGTTTAAATCTTAGACCGGCCCGGCCCGGCCGGTGACCGGCCGGTCTAAAAATATTTCTAGACCGGCAAAAACCGGCAGGCGTATGAATTTTCTTTACATAGTAAAACTAGTTCTAGACATAGACCTTTTATCCATAAATTGGTTTTTACACTTTCCTTTTCATGTATATTATCATTTTCATAGCAAACAATAACACAAATTTCTACGATTGAATATGTTCTGGACAAAATAAAGTTCTTTTCTGCAAAAGCTGATAATTGATTTAAATTTCTTCTTTTATTATATACAAAATTTACACAAAAAAAAAATATCATAATGATACATATTAAATTAACAAACTATGTGTTCGCATCCATAATAATTATAAAAATAAGAAGTTTATGTTACGTACTTTTACTGTGTTGAATAAAAAAAAATATATGACGAATACTTATCGTATCGTGCGTATATCTATCTGTACAATCAACTTGACGGCCTACTCTCTTTTTTATTAATTTAATTAAAGATGTGTTGGCATGTTAACAAGAATTGAATCAATATCAAAAGGAATACATAAAAAAAAAATAACAATCAATATGTGACACTGTTCTGATTATTAAGATGTTGTAAATAGCAGATAATAGAAATCTTTTAAGAGGAAATTTAATGTATAGAAAAATTTGAATTTACATCGAAAAACAAAACTTTTGCTCTTTTCGTTTCAAAAATTGTAATGAACAGAAATAAATAATATTATCTTATTAAAAAATTAATAATAACACAACTTTTTCAAACCAGCAAAAACCGGTAAAAACCGGCCGGTCTAGCTGTTCAAACCGGCCCGGGCCGGTTTCGCCGGGCCGGTTACAACTCTGAGATCAGGTGATAATTCAATTTCAGTATCACCTCAACTTACACCTTCAATTTTTATTGCATCATCAGTCCAATCTTCACCACTTCTTGCTATTTCATCAATATGAAGGTTTGCAGCAAGTTTTGCTGTTCTGTTTGATATTAAACCTGCTTTAATTCTTGTTGACTTCTTGGACATGGTGGTAAAATTAATTTAGCATGTAGATTTGTTTCAAGTAACTAAAAAAATTTATTTTATTTTGAATTATGAAATTTAACACGAGATTAATATTGATTAAATGTATGTCTATCTTAATACTTCATATCTAACATATCAATTAAATAAAGAACAAGTAATAACATCTTTGTTGAAATCTCAGGCTACCGACCTATTTCTTTTTTGACATAGAATATGAGAAGTCTTCTTACTTTTTTAAAATCTACATTCAAATGGATATCAATCAAAGCAGGAACACTAAATTAACTATGACATGGTAATTTCTTGTAATCTATTTTCAAAAAAAATATTATCTGTCAATATCAAAAGCAACATCGATAATTATCATAAACTTCTCTATCCAATAGTACGGGAAAATCTTTAGATAAAGGATATGCTAGACATAATTAAACATTCTTAGATATTATTTAGAATCTCAAAAGAATTGATATATTGGCACGAAATTCTATAACTAGGTTTCAGGACTTTCAGCTGAAAATATTAGAAAACTAAAAATAAAATTTTCTATATTGTTTTGTTTTTTTTTCTAAAGACCTTCAGAAGAAGTATTAAGATGAGAATTTTTTTTGTTGTCAATAATAAATTACTTTTTCATCAAGTGATTCCAGTGTACAAGAAGCGCAACAAATTTAATAGTTTTCTCTTAGAAAAAAGAAAAGAACAATCTAAAATCTTACTTTGATTTCATTGTCTAAGAAGTTTAATGCATTCTTCAACATTTCCTAATAGCATTGGAATCTGATCTTGTAAATAAATAAAAGTTAATTTTTCCCAACAATCTTTACCATCTAATTTTGGTCGAACTTCTGTATGAAAACAAAAAAAACAATATTTTCATTAACTTTTGTTCTATAAATAGGTAAATCAACTGTACAAATAACTCCATGATCACCATTAATAAGGGCATACTTTATCATTTGGCCATATTGCTTTTTCTTATACTTGTTAATGAGCGCTTTTGTTGAGCATCATATAAAATAATATCATAATTTTCACGAATTAATAAAAGACGTGTACCAACCTAAAAAATTAATGAAAAAATTTAAAAAAAGAAACAAATTTAAACTTACAATATAATCTTTTTTATCAAGAAAAATAAATTGATTTCGAGCAACCCATATAGCATTCAAATCAGACAAATGACGCCCTTCAGGTTGACAAGTTGCAATAATTACATTAAATTCATATTTTACATATTAAAAATTGCGAATATATGATAAAAATTTTTCCATGTTGCTGCTGATCTATCCGAACAAAGAGAAAAGAATTCAATGATGAACACATACTTGAATATTGTGTGTTCGTCTGCTTCGTGTACTCACAAACGAACATGACACAGACAAGAATGAAAAACAGGCCTAGACAATAATGTTTTTTTCTTTTCTTCTCTCGTCCGTAAGTTATGCTTCATGTTGTCATTGATGATCAACGATAATATGACATAATGAGTGTGTACGTCAATTAAGCATTATCCATACACATACATTGAGATACTGTGATTGACTTTATCTCAATGTATGCGTGTATGTTGATAATAGCTTAATTTTTATCATCTTTTCATCGCTCTCTGACGAGAAAAAAAAAAAAGAAAATTATCGACTTTTTAACGTATAAATATGAATGATTTTCCATGTAAAAATCATTCAATTTATTGAATCAAATATTAATCTTTTCTTTTTTATATTTTAGAATGATTTCGACGATACAAAATTATACAATTCAAATCAATACAACACAATAAAACAATGTAGGTATCAGTTTTTTTTTCTTTATTAGATCATACAGAGGGTGGTAAGTCCTCTTGTGATCTTTTATATTCATGTTTTCTTTTTCTTTTCTTTGTTGAGATGAGAATAGTTAGGGTGAGTGAGGTACGTTGAGTTTAGGGTTTCGCTTTATAAGAAGGACTTCCGGGTAGTCCCTAAAAGCTCGGCCAGGAACTGTCTTGGTGTCCGTGGCACACGATCAGGCCCTCAGACTCACTGACATATGACATCGGATGGATGCATGTGGATGATGTGGGTCTTCCCGCGCGTGCATGAGCTTTATGCTCGCCGCGGTTCCACTAGGATGGTTCCTGGTCGCGCGCGCGCGAAGAGAATAGGATAGCTATGAAACAATTTTTTCATTCAGTCACGATTTATTTGTAAGAGAAAAAGAACAAAACGATAAAATTAATCATCGAAATGAGTTTATTCGATATTAAATTTTTGTACTCGATGATTTGCGTAATCGACGGCATAGAGATTACCATGTCGATCGAATGATAAACCTATGGGATAAGCGAGTTGATTCGACTGTGCTCCATAACCGTTTCCACCAACAATGACACTTCCTTGTACGGCTCCTTTTGGCCAACGCATGATTCGATGATTCATCCACTCAGCCACATAGACAGTACCCAACTGATCGACAACGACTCCTTGAGGATTATTCAATTGTGTAAGACTATTTCCTTCTCCTTGACCACCGGCTACGACAATGCCTTGTTTTGCACGTTCTTCCCATTTCATTACACGTTGATTTCCACTATCAGACACATAAACTGAATGATCTCGATCGACAAATACGTAGGAGGGATTTGAGAGTTGATCCAGATGATTTCCTTTTCCATTACCACCTGCAACTACTGTTCCTTGAGTGTCACCAATTTTATATCGTCTCACTTCATTTTTTCCATTGTCAGTGACATAGAGAGAACCATTGTCGTCCATTGTCAAACCGCTGTAAGAGATATTTGAAATAATTGTTTCTCCACGAGTACCATTTCGACGAGGCCACCGAACTACTCTTCTATTCACACAATCGCTGATGATGAGACTATCGCTCTCTTTGTCAATAATCACATCTGATGGGTAGTTTAACTGATGAGCTCCATTTCCTTGTCCATTTCCACCAGCAACTACTTTTCCATTCGTTGCACCAGATTTCCATTCCATAATACGGTGATTACCCTGATCAGCGACATAAATCGTTTGATCATCATCGACGTATAAACCGAATGGACCATAGAGTTGATTGGTTTCACTGCCTTGTCCATTTCCTCCAGCAACAGTGATACCATTCTGTGACCATTTTGCATTCGGATGAATATCAATGGAACTCGCACGTAGTGGTACTGAAAAGAAACAAAAGTATGGAGTAGAAATAAATATCGATTTCATTGAAATGAATCATTCTCATTTGTTTTAAACAGTATTGAACTGCTCTCAATTACAAAAGTTTTTTACTTATGAACTTGATTAGAATCTGGTTTTTCTCAATGTTGAAAACAAAACATTATTGATTTTTCTGAAACCTTTTGTGTAAGAATCCTTAGTTTTACTAAAACTAACTAAAATTTAACTGGTAATGTGAAAAATGCGATGAACTCGAATTTTATCGTAAATGAAATTTTCTTTTATATCAAATTTTTCCAACATATTCACTGATTTCATTAGTTCGACTTTGAAATATATTTAGATTTTACATGTCATCAATTTAAAAATCATTTCATTTTTTATTGTTTGGATTTTACAATAAAATGAGTTATAATAGAATTTGAACGTAAGGAAAAACAATTTTGTTATCAGTTGATAGGAAATGGTGTATGATTTATGTTTGTCACACATTTCTGAGTGAAATGAGACAAAATAAATTTGCAACTTTTATATGAATTCGTTAAAAACATCTTGCTAGATAATAACAATAGTTAATTATACTTAACTACCATGCATAAGACGTTTTTGACTGATTCATATAAAAAATGGCAAATTTTTTGTGTAAGTATTTTTCTTTCTTGTTCCATTTACGAATGTGTGACAAATATAAATCATACACCATTCGAAAGTATTTTATGCCATGAATTTTGCATTATACTTATTATTGAGTAATTTATTCCTGAATCTCAAACAAACAAGTAGTTTGTAGAAAGGCTAATCGAAGTGCTAAATAAGATAAGTTTGGATAAAAAAATACGTAAGTTCAAATTTTAGTAGATAAGAAGAACTCAAAAACAAATCTTTCCCAAGTTCAAGAATATTTGAAGAATCTGTCATATTCATTACTCAACATTATAGCACAAACAATAATCTATATACGAATCAATCAAATCTTTTATTTTGAATTCATTTCTAATGTATTACAAATTTTCAACTTAATAGGCTGTCGGTGTATGGAACATGGTTTTTTAAACAATAGTAGTTTCGATCAAGGATCGATTTCGAACTTTCTAAAATTAAGTATTTTCACTTCTTTACAAGACAATACGAATCTCCTATCGAAACCTTAATCTAAAATCTTTACAAGTTTTTGTTTTGTAGGTTATTCAATAGGTGTAAATTTTTGAGGATTCTCACAAAAAAGCAACGATCGTAAAAGATTTCATCATGATTTTAGCTATTCTCAATAGCAATAAGTGTGAAGATTTCTTCTTCAAATTGTTATTGTATCGCATTCTGAACTGGTTAAATCCTAGAAGAAAGTTTTTTTTTGTTTGTCTAGAATTTTCTAAAGGTTGATATTGATATTGATTTAAGCTTTAAACTAGAAACAATACTTCTATGATTATATCTTGAATGGACAGTTACAGAACCGATGAAGTTAATAAAAAATGTCATGGAGTTTTATAAACTCCCTAAAAATAATTTAAATAATTTCATTCTTTTTAATTTATCTATGAAGAATCTAGCTATAATAGAGATCTTGATTAAATTTAATACTATTTAATCAATTTTCATTTTTATTACATGTAATGTCATGTATTTTTAATATGTTAATGTCTCAGTGCAATTGGAAGAAAGTACATTTTAGTATTATTTCTTTTCTTCCATCGACAAAAAACAAATACATGTAAAACGGTATGAGACCTTTAATTATGTGTCAAACAACTCGAAGATGAGAGTCAGAAACAAAACAATACTTTCTGCTTTTTAAATCAAAGAGATTCTGAGACATAAAACTCTAGTAGGCAATTTTGTGTTCAACTTATAGATAATGACATAGATCTATATGAAATGCTTATTAATACTATAGATTTATTTCAATTAATTCAAACTTCTCAAATATTTCTTATACACATGGAAATGATCAGTCTGATCGGCTACCTTGCTTCGTTTTTTTCCACATAAACTTCAGTCTTATTTTAGAACAAGTACAGTCAACATTTGCTCTATATTTGATATTATATAAAATTTTATTCCTTATTTTTCATTTTTGCTATACTGGTAGTATAGAAATTCCCATTTTTATTTCTTGTTTTTCTAAATTGGCAGTTTAGAAAATTTTATTTATTATTTTTGATTTTTTATATTGATAATATAGAAAATCTCAATTTTAATTTTTGATATCTCTATAACGATAATATAGAAAATCTCAATTTTAATTTTTGATATCTCTGTAACGATAATATAGAAAATCTTATTTTTGAATTCTTATTGATTTTAATTGATAATATAAATATCAGTTAGTTTTAATTCTTATTTTTCTATATTATCGATATAGAAAAATACAAAATAAAAACTAAGATTTTCTATGTCAACAATATACAAAAAATAGTGAATAAAACAAATTGTTATCTTTGTTACCAATGTAGAAAAATAAAAAATAACATTCTCCATATGACCAATGCAAAAAATAAGAAATTAAAATCAGCATTTTCTAAATTATTATTACTATAAACAAATAGGACATAAAACTAGCTGTTTCTATATCATCAATATAGAAAATAAAAAATAAATAGGATTTACTATTTTATCACTACAGAAAAATGAGGAATACAAGTAACCGTTTTGTACTCTATTAATATAGAAAGGTGAAAAATAAAAATAACCGTTTTCTACACTATTAGTATAGAAAAAAAAAAAAAAAAAAAACTGACGTAAACTATTCGAGTCTTTTCCCAGGTACTGTTCTTCATCGGAAAGCTGATGGAATCAACTATTCTCGAATAAGAGAAAGAACAGAACAGACCATACACGATCAGATGCTAACAGGCAAGATCTACATTATGTACTGTGTATGTTTCGTTTTTTGGATCTTATATGTTCTGTTAAGATCTGACAAGAAGGAACCAGTCTGTCCAAATCAGTGTCTTAATCATTGAGTCTTGTAAGATTATTTGCTGACACCGCACAATCAAAATCTGAGAACATCTTTAAAAAAATGAACATATAAGATATTGTTCGATATTGTAACAAGATCATAGAAAAAACCTTATAGGAGTGAGATCTCATTGGATCTTGCAGGATCTGACATCTGTTTTTTCGGGGTGGGTGTGAGTGCGGCTATAGATGAATCAGTTACTCACCCATCATGGTAAGAATTTGAACATATAATTTCACCAATATAAAATCGGAAAATCTAATAAAAAGTTGCCTTTCCATAAAGGTCGTAAAAAACAGATCAGTTGTTAATTATGAATTGATTTGGAAATTCGCCAATAATAGTAAAACTGTATTCTGACTTTAGATAGCCTATTATCCAAAAATATGCAACACTATTTGAAGAAAAACAGAAATTTCGCTTTCAATTTTGCAACTTATGTTCATATGGTTTCCCACTATAGACAAGCCAAGTGAAATTGAAATATAAATACTGACATGATTGAAACAAGAAAAGAACATATCCTATTGTTCGGATGACAGAAAAATATATTTATTTACCTATACAACTAAAATACTAATCACCTATCTTATTTCGAAAATCTTTTTTCATTTCAAGCTTTTCAACAGTAGCCGAGAAAGTGTAAATTAAATTAAAATAGACTCATATCTATTCAATAACTTCAACGAATTGCCATCTTGACGTATGTAGATTAGGTTTCGTTTTTAGATTCTTTTCTCCTAAGTTCTTAGAACTAAATAATTGATACAGTTGAGTTTATTTCAAAAAAATTATTTACGTTAATCTTGAAAAATTTTCAATATAATCGTATGAAGTGATCACTCGTAAAATCTGAACAAGGCTCATAGCTTCAGATTGAAGTAACAATGAATTTAGCTTCTTTAGAAAATAAACAAATGTTAATCAAAACTAACCGGGTTGAAATCAATCAATTAAAATGAAATTCTTTAAGATAATTAAAATTCAAATAAACTAATATAATTCTGTTTTTAGAAATATAACTGATTTCAATCATTATTTTTATAGAAGATTCGAAAAAAAATCAAATTTTCTTCAGGTGATTTGACTTTTATTTTAATCATATTAAGGGAGCCCCACCCCTCTCAGAAAATCCAATTTTTCGAAGACGAGTCGAAATTGAAGTTTTATCGTAGGAAGATGCACCGAAATCTCCTCTTTCAGAACATCTATGGTTTATCAAAAAATGAATTGATTTTGGCAAACTTATCGTCTAAAACTCGGCTCCTACTGTCATATTTTTCGAGAAATTCTCAGAGGTTTTTTCCAAGCTTTTTCGATTTTTTAGGCTGCTTTCTCTTTGCATCAGCATCTTGTAAAGTTTTTTTCTAAACTAATCACTAAGAGACTATGAATACTTTATATTGAGATCACATTTTTATAGCCTGTCTTGAACATGGATATATAAATCAGGTGATTTTCGGAAAAATCGATTTCTAATACTTATTTTCCGTTTTTCTCAAAACGAATTTTTTCGAGCATACCATTTATGCGAGCAAGGATTTTTCAATAACGACTCCATAAATAAGGGATAATTTTTTTTTTGTTAAATAGAGGACAGTTAGGGCTAGGTCGTAATAGAGTTCGATTTTTGAATTTCCCTTTTGCTGAAATAAAAAAGTTAGATATTTCATTTTTGTTAGCAGAGTTTTTGGGTACAATTTCGTGGATTTTGCGGAAACGAGTTCTTAAAAATCAAACAAAGGGAAATTCAAAAATCGGGCTCTATTACGACCTAGCCCCAAGGGTGCTGTACAATCTGAAAACCGCGCGGGCTTGTTAGCTCGTATCCTTATTGTGAAATCCTTGCCCGCGTAAACGGTAATAAATCGACTAGAACTCGTGCATTTCTTTGAGATTTGAGGAGATATTTTAACCATAAGCTATTCTAGTCAAGACTAACATTCTCGGAAATTTTGGTTGAAATCGGATGAAAAATAACAAAGTTGGTTTCTGAGAGGGGGCTTAAAGTAAAAAACCATATCAAATGTTAAAACAAAAAATCCGAGATTTCTTCCAAATTTAAACGAATTGAAAGAAAAAA